TGCGCCACCACCGCCCGGCTCTAGTGGTAATTATAAAAGACAAGCCAGAGCTTTCTCCTGAGATCAGCAAAATCCTTAGGTGTTAAACTCAAAAAAGATACAGCCAGGGAGCTAGGAGTATAACTTGGGGTACAACATTTGCCTACAATGATTGAGACACAGGGTTCAAGCCCCAGCAATGAGAAATCAGAACAGGAGGAAGAAAACTGATTGCAAGCACAATGGCAGCTCTCTAGCAGCTTAAGAAAGCAGTAGTGGCCAGGCAGACAAACAGACTGAACAATGACCACCAGAAGTTACAATGGCCAGGTGTTCCTACAGACTATGCTGCCTACACCTCTAACTTCTAAAAGATGCCAAGATGGGCTCTTGTTTATAAACATTTTCCATTTTGCCATAAACATTTGGAAAAATGGAAATTCTCCAAATGAAAAACAGAACAGTACAGATTTAGTTCATTTATGTTCTGTGGGAGCTTATCACATGCTAAGCATTTGGAGAAGCCAAATCAAGTCTTTACTTACCGGCACTGTGACATCATCATAAAAACTCCAAGCTAAGGCCCATCTCATTGTCCGGCCTTGACAGAACTCCGTGAAGGTGACTTTACGAACCTGAAACCAGTAGAAACAGAATCTCGCCTGAAGTTTTATTTGTTTTGAGAGGGGATCTGAGGTAGCTAAGGGTGACCTTGAGCTCCTGATTTCCCCCCCCCCCACCTCAACAGCTGCATTACACCAAGCCCACCTTCACACTGAAGTCTTTCTAGTAATGCTCCTGGCTGCTGACTCCTATTGAGGTTTTTTGTTTTGTTTTGCTTTTGTTAGTTACCAATCAGTATTTTCTTTGTTTGGTGGGTTTGGTTTTTCAAGACAAGGTTTTTCTGTGTAGCTTTGGAACTTGTCCTAAAACTTGCTCTGTAGACCAGGTTGGCCTTGAACTCACAGATATCTCCCCCCCCCCCCCCCCCCGTGCTGTGATAAAGGCGCGCACTACCACCACCCAGCCAAACAATATTTAAAAAATAAATAAAAATAAAAGGTATATACATTTGTCTGATAATCAAAAAATTATATACAGAATTTTTATCTCTCATAAAATATTAGAATTTATAGATGTCTCATAGGTCAAATAACAAACACCTCAAACAGTTCTCTGAAGTCACTATAAAATGGTTTAAATAGTTTTTATTTATTTCTTTAAAACAGGACTTGGCTACTTGGGCCAAGGTGGCCTCTGACTTGCAATCCTCTTGCTTCTACCTCCAGGAGGCTGGAATTACAGATGTGGATAGCCCTGGCAGTGCTGAGGTTGAAGGCAGGGCCTCAGGCATGCCAGACAAGCACTCCCAGCTCCTAAGGCTGTGTTTACTGCTGTTTTGAGACAGGATCTCACTAGGTAGTCCTGGCTTACCTTGAACTTGTTATGAAGACCAGGCTGGCCTCAAACTCAAACTACCTGCTTCTGCCTCCTGAGTGTGGGGATTAAAGGCATGTACCACCTTCAGTCTTTGTTTACTTCTTTAAGTAGAAGATCCAACCGAAAAGTATGGCCATAAATCAGATTTCAATAAAGAAAAAAGAACTACTTTATAGGTTTTTTTTTTTGTTGTTGTTTTTTTCAAGACAGGGTTTCTCTGTGTACCTTTGGAGTCTGTCCTGGAACTCTGTAGACCAGGCTGGCCTCGAACTCATAGAGATCCACCTTCTCTGCCTCCCAAATGCTAGGATTAAAGGCGTGCACCACCACCACCCAATCTACCTTGTAGTTTTTAATAAATGTAACAAGAAATATGGACTGGAGATGGCTCAACAATTAAGAGCAATTCTCACTCTTGCAAAAGACCTAGCATGGTTCCCAGAATCCACATGTTGGATTACAACCATTCATAACTCCAGAAAAGGATCTGACATCTCCTGACCTTTGTGGGCACCCATACATCTGCAGACAAAACATTAATACACACAACATAAATACATGTTTTAAAAAAAAACTTAAAAATCACAATTAGCTTTATGGTATAAAGAAAGCTGCCCTACTCAGACTACACCCTAAGAAGACACACCTGAATGGCAGTGACAAAGCTTACCCCTTGGATTCTGAGCTCTTCCTTCAGAGGAGCCAGACTGCATTTCTTCCCCAGCATACAGCTATACCACCTTGGAAAAACATGAGACAAATGAAGAGTGATTATAAGCATCACTCATGAAAACATAAGCAAACAAATATTAAGTTACAAGTAACAATAACAAAGCTGCACAAATTAAGCAAATACTAAATCACATAATGGAAAAAAGGAGCCCAAGACAACCTAAACAATAATCTGGGCTAACAAAACAGTTCAGAAAATGAAGGCCTGAGTTCAATAACTAGAGCCCATGGAAGCTGTTCTCTGACTTCTACAACCTCACGATGGTACCACATAAACACGCACAAGTAATTTTTAAAAAAATTTAATAAAAAAAAATCTGCTAGGCAGTGGTGACACATGCCTTTAATCCCAGCACTCAGGAAGCAGATGCAGGAAGATGTCTGTGAGTTCAAGAACAGCCTGGCCTACATAATAAGTTCCAGACCAGTCAGAGCTACATAGTGAGACTCAGTCATTAAAAGAAAAAGAAAAAAGAAAGAAAAAAAGCAAATAAATAAATCACTTAGTTTTCTAGTGCTTAAAACTGTACAAATTTGGAAAGAGATCAAAGAGGACAAGACTATCATACACAGAATGTGAAGGCCACTTTAGTTTTAGAACAGGCATTAGCCAACAACAAAAAGGTAGGGCCTGCAAAGATGGTTTTAGAGTACTTGCTGGTCTTACAGGGGACTCAGGTTCCATTTCTGAGCTCAAAAGGTAGCTCATAACACCCCTAACTCCCATTCCAAGGGCTGACTTTCTCTTCTGGCCTCCAAAGGAGTTGTACAAACAGGGTGTACATACATACAAACAAGAAAATATTCAAAACAAAAATAAATAAATCTTTGAAAAATAACAAAAAAAAGGCATATAAATACCCTCAGCACTACATTTTTAAAAACAAACAAACAAAAACCACATCATCAGGAGGTGGTGGTTCACGCCTTTAATTTTAGCACTTGGAGGCAGATCTCTGAATTCAAGAGCAGTATGGTCTACAGAGCAAGCTCCATGACAGGCTTCAAAGATACATATAGAAACCCTGTCTTGGAAAAATTGACAGGATCCTGCCTGAATTTGTGCTGTGAACTGCTCTATGCCAGGCAGAGGTGGCGTATGCCTTTAATCTGGAAGGCAGAGACAAGTGGCTCTCTGTGAGTCCGAGGTCAGACTGGTCAACAGACTGAGTTCCAGGATGGTCAGGGCTACATAGGGAACTGCTCTGAAGAAATGAAAAGAAAATGAGGTGAACTGGTCGAAGGGTAAAAGTGATCTAAGTCATTTCTTCTGATTATTCTAAATAACTTGAGATGTAAAAAGAGATCGGATTGTTGTCAGTCAATCAAAGAGTAGTTAGCATGGAAACTGTCTTCTAATGTTAAAATTCTTGAAACTGTCTAAAAAATGAAAGAAGAATGAACGAACTGCAGGAAACGAGTCCCACAGCTGTCAGTATATACTGCACTAAGTGTCTTCCCAGCTTCAGGACAGGGAAAGGAAGCTCAAACAGCATGACAACCCTGCTGAGTTGACAGGACAGGTGAGAGTCAAGAAGATGAAGCACTTAGGATCGGCAAAGCAAATTAAGAAAAAAATAAAACTCATCTAGGTTCAAGCTAGTCTCCAACTTTCTGTGTAGCCCAGGCTGACCTTGAACTTCTGATCTTCCTGCCTCCAGCCCCCCCTTCACCCCCAGTGTTAGGATTACAAGTATGTACCGACATGCTGAGTCTATTCAGTGCTATGGGCTGAGGACTGAACCCAGAGATTCATGCATGCATTCTACCAATTTACCCATATCCCTTAGCCCCAAGAAAAAAATATTTATAAACAACTCTTACTATATAAATAAATTACTATACAAATAAAGGAATTTGTTTGTTGTATAGATAAAACAAATTCCTTGAAACACACAAACCATCATACTTACTCCAGAAGTATGAACTCAAATAGTTCTTGTATTAAATTATCAATTAAAGAAACCAAATTCAGCCAGGCAGTAGTGGTGCATGCCTTTAGTCCCAGCAAAAGGGAGGCAGAGGCAGGCAGATATCTGTGAGTTTGAAGCCAGCTGGGTCTATAAAGTGAGTTCCAGGACAGTCAGAGCTACAAAGAGAAACCCTATCTTCTTGGGAAAAAGAGAGAGAGAGAGAGAGAGAGAGACAGACAGACAGACAGACAGACAGACAGAGACAAGAAGGAGGAGGAGGGACCAAATTCATACTAAAACTTTCTCACCAAAGTACTTATTGCTAAGTACATTTAAAAATGTACAGGTTGAGTATGGTAATGCAAACCTATAACCCCAGCACTCAGGAATGGGAGCACCAGAGTCAAGATAGTCTCAAACCCATATTGGACTATATGACAATATATCAAAAAAGGGGAATGAGAGAAGTTCTGGCCTAGCATGCACAAAGCCCTGGATAAAAGAGTGCATACTTGTGGGAGGTAGAAGTAGAAGGATCAGAAATTAAAAGTAATCCTCCACTAAACAGTGATTTCAAAGGCTAGCCTGATACATGAAAACTGTCTCAAAGACAAAACCACCCCATCTTGTTTCTAGCTTCCTATGTTCACGTGCCTAAGCACTAAATGCTGGCTGTGATCTCAAGAGATACCCTGTGACAACTAATCAAAATGCAAGTAGAACAAAAAGGAACAAAGGAAGATCAGTTACCCAAGAGACCTTGAACCCATTACAGCATTTTAATCATGAAAGTGGTACTCTATTCATTACAGCATTTCAAAATCCCTCAGAGATGCTAAGTTTCAAGAAAAATTATTTTGAAATAATTTCTGGCCTGTAAGAATTACAAGATTAATAAAAACGACTCTCCTATACCCTTCACCCAGATCTGCCAATTAACAAGTTCCCCATGTGTTTGGTTCTGCATGCTTTCTAAACTATTTGGGAGGTAGCTATGAAACATTCCTGAACCCTAATATCTTGGCATGTACACTTTATAAACAAGAATCTTCATTTTAGCTGGGCAATGGTGGCGCACATCTTTAATCCCAGCATTTGAGGCAAATGCAGGTGAGTCTCTGTGAATTTGAGAACGGCCTGGTCTACAGAGCAAGTTCAAGGATAGCTAAGGCTGTTAAACCCTGCCTGGAAAAGCTAAAAATAAACAAACAAAAAAACCCCAGAAACCTTTCTTTTGGTAACAACACTTAACAATTACTAAAATTGGAGAATATTATTCACATGATATTACAATATGGACTGAAATACAATCCACATTCACAACTATACTAATTTTCCCTGGATGCACACTTCAGTGTGCGGGTATCCATTTCAGTTATCTGTCCTGTCTTCTTTGTCTCCTCAATCTGGAATTGTTCCCGAATCATCTTTTACTTTCATGTCAGGATGTGAGTTAGATTCTGAGTACCTATTTTTGAAGTGACAGACACAGAGGATCTCCTGTGTCCTACAAACACCAATCAGATCAGGAGCTCACGGAGTGGGAGCAGTCCTCCTGGATTGTCCACTTTAAATTCCCACAGTCCTCTTTGAAAGTCGCTACTCTAAGGAGAGATGCTCTGAAACTATATAAATGCCCTGTTCTTGCCGTTTTCCAGTGAGATCAAACCCAGTGTATCACTAAGTTACAGCCCAGCCAATATCTGTTCAAATTTCCCACTGATTTCTCCCACAGATCAATTATTACTATGACAACTGCAAAATGATCTTTCTAAGCTGGGTGGTGGTGGCACGAGCACTCAGGAGGAAGGCAGGCAGAGCTCTGTGAGTCAAGGCCAGCCTGGTCTACAAGAGCTAGTTCCCAGGAATCAAAACCCTGTCTCGAAAAAATCCAAAAAACAAACAAAACAAACAAAAAAAGATCCTTCTAATGTACTTATTTATAGATTTAGTCAATAGAATCCTACTTTGTAAAAACATTTTTTACTTGAATTGCCTCCAATTGGGCTTGAATTAGGTCCTATGTCCTGTTATGTCATTTGGGGTACATATTCTTGCAAAATGATATTGTAGCCTCAGTATTTATTTTGACCCAGCTCTGTAAACAATTATTTGAAAGATCAGAATGGAAACTCAACAATAAGGACTTTGAGGAACTTTGGCTCATTTCAGTGGGGAAAGGTTAGTTAGAAATGTCTTTAAGCCAATTTTTAAATTTAAGTTGTAATGCAGAAAAGCAAGTTACGAGCAGAAGCTTGGGGTGAAAATGGCTATGAGCCCAACACCTTACTGCCTATAAATAGACTGCTAGAACAAAGGCCTCCAGTCACCAGAGCAGATGACGGGTCTGCTTCATCTCAAAACTTCATCATTTCAACTGACATAAATTCTAAATTGTCATGGCTAAAAATAAACTTTTTCATTTCCCCCCCTGCAATCTCAAGTAGCATAGGATGGCTACATGGTACAACTGTGGTCTACTTATAAATGCATCTGTGGTACAGACCACTGAGATAGTGGAAGTCTGAAATTATACTTTCTAAGTCGCTTAAGTCTGCCTCATAAGTGAAATGAAGTTGTACAATTTTACCCTTCAAGCTTCTGTCAGCTGCTAACCAAAATCCAGTAACTAAGCTGTTACTGAGCATAACTTGAGCCTCTGGCTTTCTGTGGGACTTCAGGAGCAAGAAGAAAAAAATGTTTAAGTGTTAAAAGATTTCTTTTATGTGTATGGGTGTTTTGTTTGCATGTATATTGTGTGCATCATGTGCATGCACGACGCCTTCTGAGGTAAGAAGAAGGCTTTAGAGGTTGGGGATTTAGCTCAGTGATAGAGTGCTTGCCTAGCAAGCACAAGGCCCTGGGTTTGGTCCTCAGCTTCGAAGAAAATTAAAAAAAAATAAAAATAAAAAAGAAGAAGAAGCCTTTGGGGACTCTGGAATTGGAGTTGCAGGTGGTTATGAGCCACGAGGTGAATGCTGGGAACTGATCCTGAATCCTCTAAAAGGGGAACAACTGCTCTAACTACTAAACCATTTCTCCAACCCAAGAAAAAATATTTTAGATGGATAAAAGCAGCAAATAGTAGGGATGCTTGGAGATTTTTGTTTTTCCTCCCCTACACCTCTGAGACAGGGTTTCATGTAGCCAAGGCTGGCCTTGAACCCACGATCCTCTTGCCTCTACTTCCCAAATGCTGGGATTACAAGGCATGTACCCCACAAATAGCTAAAATACTTGCTTTTAATCTTTTATTTTTGTAGCATCTCAGAATATACATCATTCACAAGAGTCTAAAAGTGGAGTCATTAGTGGTACAAACATGACGATGAACTAGGCAGACAGATGACTACTTTCCACAGCAGCTCACAGTGAGCACATTTCCCCAGATGGACAACCGTTCAGTGGCACGACAGTTCCTCAGTCAACTTACACCTCTTAGTCAACTTTGAGGCTGCAGACCTGGAATACACTAAATAGCTCTCCATTCCTTAGAATGTTCCTTCTAAACTTTAAAAAGCAAACAAACAAACAACCTTCAAGAACAATTTCATTAGTTTAACCACCCCCCCTCAGGCTGACAGGCAGGCAGTAAACCTCAGCAATATCACAGAGAAGGAAAATTCAGAAACTGCATGTCTGCGGCCTGGTAAGCCACCACCTTAAACTTGTTTTTGTAGTTCAGATGAAGACTCTATGGACATAAATATATAATTTAAAAGTCCCCTAAAAAATAAATAGCCCCATTCCTACTAAACTGTAGCCTAAGAGAACCATCTACTGCTTCTCCCATTTTGCTGGTTGGCCCAGTCCCCCCAAAAGCAACACATAGTCAGGCATGGTGGTACATGTCTCAACTCCCAGTCTAGATAGCGAATTCCAGGTTCAGCCAATGCTACATAAACGAAACTATCTAAAACACAAAACAAAAACAAAAAAAAAAAAGAAGCTAGCATATGATGGTCATAAACCTATTTCTTCTTCAATCAATGCTCTATTGACTTTCTTTAGATTTACTTCTTTAGACTTTACCTAAGGCTCGGTTTAGCCCAAGCTGTTTTCTCCTTAAATATACTCTAATGTGTCTCTGAAGAAATCAATTGAAGCAAAACATATTAACCTTAAGCTAAAGGGTTTCTGTAATGTTTAACTTTTCTGAGAGGCAGATCACTCAATAATCAAGCTATATTCCTCTTTTTTGTTTGGTTTTTCAAGATTTATTCATGTGAGTCTGGGTGGCTGGGCTCCTATGTACATATGAAGAAGGCAGAAGAGGGTACCAGGTCCTCTGCCATATGCTACCTATTCCTTTGAAGCAGGCTCTCTTCCCGATCTAGGGGGCAGGTGTTTTCTTGCTAGGCTATAAGCCAGGAAGTCACTGTGACCTTTCTCTCTATATCCCTTTTAGCTGGGATTGCAGGTGTGGCCTAAATGCCCAGTTCTTTATGTGGGATCTGGGACAAGAACTCTAGCCCTCATTATTCCACAGCTAAGTGCCCTTAACCGCTGAACCATCTCTACAGACTCCTCAAGCTGTTTCCATAGTTCTTAAACAAGTTCTTACTACCAAAAAAAAATTTCTTTCTGGCACAGTAAAATGCACCAGGCTTATCTTTTTTTTTTTTTTTTTTTTTTTTGGTTTTTCGAGACAGGGTTTCTCTGTGGCTTTGGAGCCTGTCCTGGCACTAGCTCTGTAGACCAGGCTGGTCTCGAACTCACAGAGATCCGCATGCCTCTGCCTCCCGAGTGCTGGGAATAAAGGCATGCGCCACCATCGCCCGGCTTAAGCATCATTTTTAAAGAAAAAGTCTGCCTGCAAGCTTATGATGTAAGTGCTATCAGGCATACCCTTGTACCTGGCTAAAATAAGCAGCTTTAGAAACAAATACAAAAGGGAAAAAAATTTTATTCTCTGCCTTGAAATTCCACCTCTGGGTAAACAGGAGAATTTAAAACAGGATTTTGAAAAGGTATTTATACACCCATGCTCATACTACCTCACATTCAAAGAGCCAAAGGAATTTTAAAAGCAACACAAACTGCCATGAGATGAAAGAATAAACAGAATGTGATTATACATGTAATGGAATAGTAAAAGTGGTTATGGTGATTTACATCAATAATCCTAGGAGGCAGAGGCAGAAAACACCACAAGTCAGGCCAATCTGAGCTACACAACAAGTACCACTCAAGATTTGTATCAAGACCTTGTTACAAACAAACAAAAACAGAACAACAACAACAATAAAGAAACCCTAAACAGCAAAATATTTGCCTTTTTTTTTTCAAAAGGAAGAGAATGTCACAAGATGGATAAACATGAAAACATTATGCTACATAAACTAAGACTACCACAAAAGGACAACTACTGCATGACTTTACATAGATGTGGTATTCAGAGAGACAACGTGGAGCTGTTTAACAGGCGTAGCTTTTGAAAGCCAAGAGTTCTGGCCCTGTGTGGCAGTGCATGACTCTGATCACAGCTTTTGGGTGGTAGAGGCAGGTGGATCTCTGTGAGTTTGATTGAGACAGGCCTGTACTACAGAGTTCCAGGATAGCCAGAGCCATGTAGAGAGACACTGTTTCAAAACAAAAATACTAAGAGCGCTGGAGATTAGTTGCATAACAATGTTAATATCTTTAACACTGCTCAACTAAAGACTTTAAAACTTGCTAATCTGATAGTACAGTATTGAAGCACCCTGGCTGTTCTTCCAGAGAACCAGGGTCCGTTCCCTGCACCCACAAGAAGACTCACAACCATTTGTGACTCTACTCCAAGAGATTCAACATCCTTTTCTATCCTCCTCAGACACCAAATACTCATGTGTTACACAACCATACATGTGCAGGCAAAACAACCCTAACCACAAAAAAAAAAAAAAAAAAGAAAAAAAAAGATTTGCTATTATGAAGACGAGATGTAGCTTAGTTTTGGGTGTGCACCTGCCAAGGTAAGGCCTTGAGTCCTCTCTCCCCAACATGCACTCTTCCCTCAATAAAACTTAAAAATACTGGAGGGTAAATTTTGTTTTTACCACACACAGAAATAAATAAATAAAAATAAATGCTTTCCCTGTTTCACGAAACTAAATCCTAGGATCGAGCTCCTTTTAGCTATCAACGAGCACATTACCCACCACACTGACAACATGCGGCAGGGTGCAAAGTGACATGAGACGAGTCGCTCTGTCTGAGTACCTAACACTGCTTAATGACAGGTGTGTTGTCCAAAATAATTAGCTTTGGAAACAGAACAGCCCTAACCCATCTCTAGAGATGGTTGGTAATCTGTTTCCCTTCATTAAATTCCTGACAGCTCAATGTCCTCACATCTGTCACTGTTTAGGAAACTGAGTCCAAGAACCTCAATTGCTTCAAGGACTAGGCAACAAATTGATTCTGGTTCATGGGACAGATTCAAACCCATCTGTTTTCTAATCAAAAGCCATATTTGAGTCAGTTTCGTTCCATCACAGGACCACACTAATGGGAGCAATGCAATCACCTGGGATTTCCCTCCCCTTTATCTGTGTAGTCATTTGGACATTATCTACTTATTTTGCAGCCCCAGTGATTATTCTTCCTTAAAGTGACATAGTTTCTTTAGGATTACATGAGACAAATAATCCTACTCACCGTAATCTTTTTTTAAGTTTTAAACTGTCATGGATTATCCTTTTAACAAATTCTAGTTCACCTCCTTCTGCCATGATTTCCGTGATGCCTCCTGTATTTACGGAACTAGGTGGAGGTCTTCGAGAATTCCGAGAGTTTACACCCTGAACAAAAACAACAACAAAAGCCATGATCTTTGAATGTAATTTAGCTATTATTGTGCTACACTGAAGATTTAAGAGATCACACTGCCAGCTGGGGTTGTAGTCTGGTGATAAACCATCTGCCTAGCATGCACAAGGCCCTGGGGATTAAATATAAAAACATTTACCTTTTATATAGCCCAATCTGTTGCTTTTCCTTTTTGCATTGTCTTGATACCATGGCCAGGAAATCTACCCAAAGATTAAATCAATATTTACTTATGTTTTCTTCTAATACTTTTATAGTTATGTTTTTTATATTTAAGTATTTAAAACCATCCTTATCTCATTTCATATGAAAAAATTAACTCAAATGAATCAATGACATAAATATAAGAGGTAAAATAATGGGGCTGGAGAGATGGCTCAGTGGTTAAGAGCACTGGCTGTCTTCCAGAGGACCCGGGTTCAATTCCCAACACCCACATGACAGCTAACAACTGTTTGTATCTCCAGTTTCTGGGGATTTGATACCTTCACACCAATCCACATAAAATAAAGTTAACTAAATTATATAAAAAAAAAAGAGGTAAAACGATAAAACTCTCAAGAAGAAAACATAAAAGTAAATTTCCATTAACTTGGATTAGCCATTGGTTTCTTAGATACAACACCAAAAAGCACAATAACAACACAAAATAGATAAATTGTATTTCATCAAAACTAAAATCAGCTTCACTGTAAAGGATACCATCAAAAATTGAAGACCAAACTAAAGAATATAAAAGGCCGGGCGGTGGTGGCACAAGCCTTTAATCCCAGCACTTAGGAGGCAGAAGCAGGCGGATCTCTGTGAGTTTGAGACCAGCCTGGTCTACAAGAGCTAGTTCCAGGACAGGCTCCAAAGCTACAGAAAAACCCTGTCTCGAAAAACAAAAATAAATAAGGAAAGAAAGAAAGAAAATAGAAAAATGTCTACAAATCACTGTAATTAAAGGGACTTGTATCTAGAATGTATAAAGGAAGAAAAGTAACCCAATTTTAAAATGGACAAAGAGGAGGGAGGGTAGGGACATAGTTTAGCCTCACACAGTGCTTGCCCAGCATGTGCATTCTCCAAGGTTCAAAAGCCATTTTTATTGCAAAACAAACAGTGGGTCAAGATACAGGGCTGCAGATCAGCTCAGTGTAGAGTTTAGCAAAGCTGTGAGGGTCTAATTAGAGCCTTCACAGTGGAAGCAGGTAGGTGAGGAGGTATCTGAATGGCGCTATGCCAAGGAGGATGAGCGAACGGCCACTAAGCACAAGAAAAGATGCTCAGCACAGTCGGCTATCAGGGAAATGCCACTCTCCACCCCCAGGGGTGGCACACCAAAGCTACACATTCTGTGGCTGGAAAATGAGCAGTTGTCAATGTAGAAAACTGTCTGGCATACCAGAGAGAGGCAACTTATTAACCACCGTCTCAAATTTAAAGAGACAGTAAAATAAGAAGGTATTTAGGGGGCTGGAAAAATGCTGAGCAGTAAGAGCATCAGCTGCTCTTAGTACTGTGCCATCAAGTCTTCCTAAGCCCCTATCTATATTCTTTGGATGTAGAAAAACAACACTTTTAATAAATTTTATTGCAGTGTATGGTTACTTTTCTTCACAAACTTACAAAAAAGTTAAAATTTTAATTATTTTAAATGTACTCCACTTTATTTTCTAATCAGGAATATTATTATTATTATTTCTAATAAACTTCTACCTCAATTCCCCCATTTTGTCAAAAAAAAATCTTTTTGAAGATTTATTTATTTTTTTAGTTGAGCATGATGGTGCACACCTTTAATCCCAGCACTTGAGAGGAAGAAGCTTCTATGAGTTCCAGGCCAGCCTACATGGTGAGACCTTGTCTAAAATAATAATAATAATAATAACAACAACAATAATAACAAATAGTAATAGTAATTTTTAACAATTTATGGTATGAATGTTTGTTTGCATGCATGTATGTATACTACTGGTCCCCAAGGAGCCCAGAAGGCAGGATCAGATTCCCTGGAAATGAAGTTACAGATAGGTTATGAGCAGCATGTGGGTGCTGGAAACTTAACCAAGGTCCTCTATAAGAACAGTAAGTGCTCTTTAACTGCTGAGCCATCTCTCCAGGCCCTATTAAAAAAAATTGTTTATTTGTTTTTGTTTTTTATGAGATAGGGTTTCTCTGTGTAGTTCTGGTTGTCCTGGAACTCGCTCTGTAGACCAGGTTGACTTTGAACCTAGAAATCCACCTGTATGTGCCTCTAGAATGCTGAGATTAAAGGCGTGCAACCACCACTGCCTGGCTGAATTTTTCAATACAGTATGTTTTAGTCGTTGCAGCGCTAAGGTTTGCAGCTAAGGCCTTTCACATACCATGCCAACACTCTACCACTGAGATATATTTTAGCCCTCTTTTTGAAATTTTGAGATAGGTAGGGTCTCACTACGGTGCTTTAAGCAGGTTTAAACTTATTCTAAATTCAGACTAGTCTGGGACTTGCAATCCTCCTGCCTCAGTCTCCCATGTACTAGGAACTACAGGCCTCCACATACCAGTTCATTTTATCCAATATTGTTCAATATCTAAAAGTTAATACATTTGTTTCACTATTTAGCTATCTATTTGCTACCAAATGACAAAAGCAGTAATTTTTTGTCCCTAAGTTGATAAGCTCAGTGCAGCAGAAAATGGGACCTACCTTGGTTCAATTTTAAAAGTTCAAAGTATGGAGGTTGAAGAAATGGCTCAGTGGTTAAGAACACTGAATGTTGTTCCAGAGGACTGTGTTCTAATCCCAGCACACACATGATGGCTTACAACCATATGACCCAGGGGCTGGCCTCTGAAGGTACTAGGCACATATGTGGTGCACCAACATTCAAGAAGGCAAAACAGTCATACACATAGAATACATAATACATTTACATTTTAAAACTGCTTTTAAGTTCAGAGTGTAGGGAAGAAAGAGCTCTCTTCACCCTCTTCCACTAAGTAATGCTTAACTACAACCAAACAAGCCTAAGAAAAGACAGCAGAGAGCCAGGCCAGAGTCAAGGGGAAAGAAGAAAAAAAGAGCCTCAGCTTTTTATTATTATGAACTCCTCAATCAAACTGTTCCTGAAGCATGAGTAACTGGTCTTTTCCGCTACATAAATTAAATATTTTAACTGTGAAGTCCATCTGTACTGGGTTTACCTTAAAACAATCAACATTCTAAATTATACTAAAAATCAACATTCTAAATTATACTAACTCTAAAGAAAAACTGCCTTTTGCTTGTATCTCTGCAAATGAGGTAAAATTACTAAGTGATTGATGACTTTAAAGGAGCTTTACCTGGGCTTCCAACTCGTTAGCAAAAAAAGGAGGGTTGCACATGCAGAAATCGTAGATGATCTCAGACTCTTCTTTAAGCGCATCCATTAGGAGTGTCTTCTGTGGCACTTTTACCACTGAGGGAGAGAGCAGGGACTGTTGGTTACTATTTATTTTGTCAAGGTTTTAAAATAAGTGCACAAAACAATACACAACTGAGGAGGAAAATGAAGGCAAGCATGTGCATATAAATTCCTTCCCACCACTCCCAGCAAGAGGCAGGAATGGAGAATCAATCTGCTGCATTAGCCATATCAATGCTCCCTTAGCAATGTGTTAACACTACTAGCAAGTGTTATTTCTTTTATGAAGAGATATAATACAATCTGCTTAATAAAACAAAAGGTTTCTCCCCTAAAACTCCCCCTATTCTTGAGAATTCTCACTCTTCTGTAATAAATTTATATTCATTTGGCTGAAAACTAAATCAATTATAATTAAAAATTAATAAGGAGCTGGAGAGTGGGTAAGAACACTTGTTTCTCTTCCGGGACCCATGTTCAGTTCCCTGCACCCACATGGTGCTTCTTAATCATCTGAAACTCCAGCTCCAAAAGAGCCAACACATTCTTCTGACATCTGAAGGCACCGGGCTTACATGTAGTGCACAGACTTATATGTAGGCAAAACATTTATTCACATAAAATAAATCTTCCAAAAATTTAAAACTGTGTCAATATGTAATGGTCATAAAATGTAAATGAATGATCACAAGGTAGAGCTGGCCTAGTACTAGCAAATATCTATATACTAAAATTAAGATAATTTAGCAGGGAGTCATTGTCCAAGCCTATAATCTGAGCATCTGGGAGGCAGAAGCAGGATAGAGAAATCAAGAACAGCCTGTATTTTTTTTTTTGAATTTTTGTTTTTTCTGAGACAGTCTCACTATGTAGACCAGGTTGGACTCGAACTCAGATTTCCACTTACCTCTGCCTCCCTAGTCCAAGTATTAAAAGAGTGCAACACTACAACCCAACTAACCTTATATATTTTAAAAATAAAAGTACAGTTAATGATTGGTGCTTCCCCCTTAAAATCATCAGTGCTTGGGATTTGGCTGGGTCAGTAAAATGCCCGCCACACAAACACAAGGACTTGATCCTTAGCACCCACACAAAAGCTGGACATGGCAGCACACCCTGTAACCTCAATGATGGGGTAACAGAGATAGAGGATATCTGGGGCTTGCAGGCCAGGCAGTCTAGCAGAATCACTAAGCTCCAGGTTCAGTGTAAGACCCTGTCTCAAAAAACACAGTGAAGGAGCTACATGGATGGTTTAATGGTTAAGAACATTAGCTGTTCTTCCAGAGAACACATCTTCTATTTCAATCACCACAGGCAGCTAACAACCACCAGTAACTTCAGTCCCAGGGGAATCTGACACCTTCTGGCCTCTGAAGGCACTGCACACACATGGTGGTACACAGAGACATAGGCAGACCGAAGGCACTGCACACACGTGGTACACAGAGACATAAGCAGAGACAATACTCATACAAATAAAGTATTTTTTTAAATTTTTAAATAATAAAGTAGAAAGTGATTGAAGAGCCGGGTGGTGGTGGCGCACACCTGTAATCCCAGCACTCGGGAAGCAGAGGCAGGTGGATCTCTGTGAGTTCGAGACCAGCCTGGTCTATAAGAGCTAGTTCCAGGACAGGCTCCAAAACCACAGAGAAACCCTGTCTAGAAAAACCAAAAAAAAAGAAAGTGGTTGAAGAATACCCTGATGCAGACTTTTGGGATGCTTCCAAAGACACATGCACACATGTACCTGCTCACACACAAAAAACTAAGCTACTTCACACATACCTATTTTTTGGAGGAAGGAGAGCCTGCAGTTGGGATTCAAAATAAGCAAATAAATCAGAAAAATAAAGAAATGCCTATTACATTTTATTCATGGTAACTTTAATCTCTTTGTATTTGTAATACAAATACAAAAGCCTTTGGAGAGTACAGTGCTACTTCAGTTTCTGAAAGCCTGAAATACATAACCTCATCTTCAGTCTGTTTTGACTTAGATAATTCATTTAATATACACTGCTGGTGAGGTGTAGGGGCACAAGCCTTTACTCCTAACACTCAGGAGCCAGATAAAACAGATCTCTATGAGTTTGAAACTAGCCTGGTCTACAAAGAGATTTCCAGCTCAGCTAGGGCTACCTAGTGAGACCCTGTCTCAAAAAAGGAGTGTGGGACAGGGGTAGGAGGGAGTGACTAGAAAGACAGCTCGGCAGTTAGGAGCACTGGCTGCTTTCCCAGGACTAAGGTTCCATTCCCAGCACCCACATGTTGGTGCACTATTGTCTGTAACTCCAGTTTCAGGATATCTTGATTCCATCTTCTAGTCTCCTGGGCACTAGGCACACATGTGGTGCAGAGACATACATACAGGTTAAATAGCAATACATACGCAATTTTATTTATTTGTTTGTTTGTTTGTTTTGGTTTTTCGAGACAGGATTTCTCTGTAGTTTTGGGGCCTGTCCTGGAACTAGCTCTTGTAGACCAGACTGGCCTCGAACTCAGAGATCTGCCTGCCACTGTGCCTCACGAGTGCTGGGATTAAAGGAAGGGGCACCACCACCGGCTATACACAATTTCTTAAATTAAAATTTAAAAAATATATATTGCTGACTCACTATAACTTGTCTAAGCAAAATGTATTTTCTCTATGGCACATACAAACACAAGACACTTTAGCATTGTTTGGGATCATTTGAAATAGCAAAGTCCCTAAGAAACAGCATAAAAATGCACTAAATGAATGTAGCAATAGAAAGCAAAAGCATTATCTATTCACAATAAAACCACCACAAAGGCAGATTACAACTTTGTTCACCTAAGATGGAAAAACAACCCGGGGGACTCACCCATCGCTACGGCAGAAAGAGAGAACCCACTCCTACTCAGACATCTACACATGTGTTTCAGCTGTGTACCCACCCTCCCTAACACACAGGTGAAGCAATGCAAGGACAAACTAAAACAAAAGGCAAACAAACGGAAAAGACTTTTAAATTTTGGCTATTACAAAGCTGATTCTAAAGTTTAGGTAGAGCTCACACTGCAATCCCTACTCAGAGGACTGAGGAGAATAGAAAGGGAACTATTTCATTAGTACACTGGGCAAGTGTGACAAACTGTTACAGCATGGCTCAAAACTCTTCTTAGTGCTAACAAGTCCTTGACGTTTCTACCTGCTTTTGCAGTACTACAAGTAGAACCAACAAATATGAGGCAAATGCAACACCAATGAACTAAATCCTTTTTGATATTTTTTATTTTGGGGCAGATTCTCACTAAGTGTACAGACTGGAGTTGAACTTGCTTTGTAGACCAAGTGAACCTGAGGTTTTACATCCTCATACCTCAGTCTCCCAAGTAGCTAAAGATATCCTATGTTACCAGGCCCCTTAAATTTATAGTGTAAGTACTCCTCGTGAAGTTCATTTTCCAGCAAACAACCAGTTGCTCTGAACAAAAGGACTTAGTCAGCACCAGCCATCCTGAATCCCACAGACGCAGTAAGAAAACTATACAACTGTCATTTAGTAGTTGCCTCATCTCTGAAGGCACAGCCGCAGGCAGAGCAGATTTACACTGTGTTATCACCAGCCTTGACAAAATCTAGACCAGAGCTTCTTAAAGTTTCAGCACAAGATCCCCTTTGCCTGAGATTTCTTTTTTTGCTCTGTTGGTTTGTCTAGACAGGGTTTCTCTGGATAACAGCCCTGGCTGTCCTGGAATCCCCTCTATAGACCAGGCTGGCTTCAAACTCACAGTTTCTGCCTCCCAAGTGTTGGGATTATAGGCATGGGCCACCACTGCCCAGCACCTGAGAAATATTTGTGTGATTCTGGGTTTACACGTCATTAAAACAGATATGTAAGTGGGCATGACTGTCCACGTCTATAATCCCTAAACTACAGGATATCTGAAGGTACACAGTAAGTTTAAGACCAGACTGGAATACAAAGAGACTCAAAAAAAAAAAAAAGTTTAAAGTGGTAGTGAAGTGTAGCTCAGTTCACAGCAAGATTGCTCAGCACACACAAAGCTCAAGTATCAGTCCCCTGTACCACAAGTAGGTATAGATACCTATAATCCCAGCATCTGGAAGGTAAAGGCCAGGTCATCCCAGGTACAGAGTTCAAGGCCAGCATACACAAAAGTCCCTGTCTAAAACTCACAGGTACAAAACTCGAACATTTTCTGGTAAATCATAAAGTATAAAGTAACTATTTGGCATAAATCTAACTTTTTTTCCATTTTCTAAAATTTTAATAACAAAATTCAAAAATTTGTCCTTGTTCCTTAGGGACTGTCCAAATGGCTGCTGCCTACTGGGTAGTGAAGTCTAGGATGGGAAGACTCTCCTGACTTTGGTGGTCTGGATTCTTCTGGAATTTTGATGGAGCGTATGTGACCTTGAACAACTTACATCTTTCTCGTTTTTCTTTCTTTTCTTTTCTTTTTTGCTTTTTTGAGACAGGATAGCTCACCCTTCAGGCTGGTCTTGAACTCCCTATGGAGCAAGGCTAGCCTTAAACTCCTTAGCCTCCCGTGTCTATACCTCAAGAGCTGGGACCACAGGTGTGAGTCCCCGTGCTGCGAGGCACTGGCCAAGGTCACTATCATTCCCCTTTCAGAGGTGAATGACAGGGTTCCCACAATTGGCTCCATGCTGGGCCATCCATCACTCTGCTCTGAGCAGCCAGCACCTGCTTCCCTCCACGCAATGTGCCAGGATCCCCACTGGCCAGGGATGATAAATCTAACTTTCCATTCATTGATAGTGAAAGGAAATTTGCAGTAGAAATGGTTATGCTATGCTTATTTATTTTTATGTAAAAATCTTGAATGTACGTGTAAAACTGTGGGTCATATAACATCTTCAATGTTTTCAGAGGTAATCAATATTTTGATGTTATAATTATCAATCTGAAAGTACCACTTTTCAGAAAATACATACATAAAATGGCAAAGATTCTCAGAAACTCTTGGAAATTCTACTCTTACCACATGTGAAAATTCATTTGAACAACTTTCTAAAATTTAAGTCAGCAACCCAAACAGCATTTGTTGTTGTTTGCTGTTGCTGCTATCAGAGACAAGATCTTACAGTGTGGTTCTTACCACTACTACTACCTACTACTATCAGAGACAAGGTCTCACTAGAGCTCACTCTCTAGACCAGGCTGGATGAACTCGCAGAGCTCCACCTGCTTCTGCCTCCCAAGTGCTGGGATTAAAAGTGTGCACCACCACACCTGGGTTTTGTTGGTGCTGTTAAGAGATTTATTATTCTCTTCCTGTGTATGTGAATTAATTTATGTATATCGTACCAGTCCAGTTGCCTGCAGAGCCAGAAGGCATCCAATTTTCTGGAACAGGAATTACTGGCAGTTACAACCGGTCAGTGCAACAAACTGAACTAGAATCCTCTGCTAGCACAATATGGTCTCCAGGACACAAATACAATAACAAAAACAAAACAAAAGAAAATATCAGAGGGAGGGAGAGAGGGAGGGAGGGGGAGGGAAGGAGAGAGACAGAGAGAGAGAGAGAGAGAGAGAGAGAGAGAGAGAGAGAGAGAGAGAGAGAGAGAGAGAGAGAGAGAGAGGCCTTTAATCCCAGCACTCGGGAGGCAGACAGATGGCTCTCTGTGAGTTCTAGGCCAGTTTGGTCTAAAGAGTGAGTTCCAGGATGGGCTCTAAAGCAATACAAAGAAACTCTGACTCAAGGAAGAAAAAAAAAAAAAAAAAAAGAGAAACAAGCGCAAGCCCTGGTCTGGAAGAATTTCAGGAAACTGTCAAGTCTTGTAGGCTATGAGTTGCCACACTGGCTGCTGAGGATCGGCTAAGAACTCATAAGAGCCAGCTGAGGAACACAGGTTTTCATCTATAGCCTGCACTATTGCCAAACACAAAAGCTGCCCAAGACCAGCAGGAGAAGACTTCTTTATCTACTCATGACCTCTATCTAGGTAGAATCAGTTGATTTATTCAGAAAGATCCAAGTCTCAGGCCAATCTACACTACATGGTATAGATTATAGAGAAAAGCCACATTAAAAAAAAAGTTTGAAAAACCCGAAAGGTGAGCCTGCGGATACAGTTCAGTGGCAAAGTACTTGCCTAGCATTTATAAAGTCCTGGGTTCAATCCCCAGAATGTTTCTTTATCCACCTACCCCAATTAACTCAAAACACATCACAGACTCATAATAAAACTCCTAGAAAATCATATAGGAAAACACAACTTTGGCCAGGAAGTGACTTCATAGATAAGAAACCAAGGCATGGAGCATGAAGTAAAAGGAAGAACTGAATCTCACATTAAACATTTTGCCCTGGAAAAGACTTTGCCAAGAGAAAAAAGCCACAAGCTGCAGGAAAACATTTTCAAAGAACATATGCCAGCTATAGTGGCACAAACCTTTCATCCCAGCACTAGGAAGGCAGAGGCAGGTGGATCACTGTGAGCTCCAGGCCAGCCTAGTCTACAGTGTGAGTTCCAGAAGAGCCAGAGCTACAACAGTAAGACCCTGTCTCAGAAAGAAAAAAAAAAGTTAATATATAATTTTAAAATAAAACTACACTAAAGCCAGGTGTGGTGGTGCACACTTTTAATCTCAGCACTCAGGAAGCTAGTTCTACGACAGACTCCAAAGCAACAGAGAAATTCTGTCTCAAAACACCAAAACAGGGCTGGAGAGATGGCTCAGAGGTTAAGAGCATTGCCTGCTCTTCCAAAGGTCCTGAGTTCAATTCCCAGCAACCACATGGTGGCTCACAACCATCTGTAATGAGATTTGGTGCCCTCTTCTGGCCTGCAGGCATACATGCAGACAATATTGTATACATAATAAATAAATATTAAAAAAAAAAACACCAAAACAAAACAAAAAGAAAAAGAAAATTCAATGAAAAACAGGTCAAAGACCTTAACAAACACCTCACCATAAAAGATATATAGATGGGGCAGGAGAGATGGCAGGTGGATTTCTACAAGTTCAAATCCAGCCTGATCTACAGAGTAAATTCCAGAACAACCATAGCTATAGAGAAACTCTGTCTCAAAAAACACCCACCAAAAAGTACATTAAGATACATATCAAGCAGGGCAGTGGTGGCACACGCCTTTAATCCCAGCACTCTGGAGGCAGAGGCAGGCGGATCTCTGTGAGTTGAGACCAGCCTGGTCTACAGAGCTAGTGCCAGGAGGCTCCAAAACCACAGAGAAACCCTGTCTCGAAAAACCAAAAAAAAAAAAAAAAAAAAAAGAAAAGAAAAGATACATATCAAAACCACTTAAGAACATAAAGTAAAATGATAATAATAATGAGAAAGAGAGGCAGGAGGATCTCTGTGAGTTCAAGGTCAACCTGGTCAACAAAGTAAGTTCCAAAGCAGCAAGAGCTACAGAGAGACAGTGTCTCAAAACAAACAAAAACTCCACAGAAGGTAATAATAAGACATTTTAAATTACAGAAGTTTTAATAAACAAAGCATGAGGGGCTATTTATTCAGAAGAACCAACCTTTAATGAGATCAGAGAGGTTATTCTGTTCCACGTTTTTCTTGGCATAATTGAAGCACATATCATCTACTTCTGTTGCCAGAAAATACCAGCCATTTAAGGTTGCTCCAAGTAAGGGATAGATGCAGGATGCTCCAGTACCTAAGAAATAAAAACCCAAGCACATCCCACATATGAGAGGGAAAGATGAGAACAATAAAAACCCTTCTTTCTAAGAATTCTTTCAAGTCTCCACTAACTCACTAGTGAGGATATTCTGTGGCTACTGGGCTTGCTCCTCATTTCACTTCCCTCCTAAGTACAAACTTCCCAGAGGACAGAAACCTTCTTGCCCTACTCTATGCTGTATATAAATATGAAGTGTGGACAACTGGAGGCCCAGGAAAAGACAGCTTAGTAACCTGGTGGCCAAAATACTGGAATAAAATTTAATTTGCTTATAAAAGTTTATATGTCCCACACGAAACTCAATTTTCTCAATGTAATGCTATTTGTTAAAACACCACAGCAGTATCTTAAAACAAATCAATATAAGTTGGACACAGTGACACACATAGGAAGCAGAGGCAAGAAAACTGTGTTTGAGACCCTGTCTCAAAGAAAGGAAAACAAAGAAAACATGCAGATAAACACATAGTTCATTCCTGAAAAGCAGAAGTGTGTGTGTATCTAATTTCATGGCATCAAATGGTCTGACTCCCTGTAGTTGTATAGAATATCACTTGTTGATTAGTCCTAACACAGATTCAAAAGACATAATAAGAAGCAATGCTTCAGGGAAGGGGGGGGGGGAATCAGCTTCAATAACCAGTATTTGTTCCTAAATTTACATGTAGAGTCCCTAACCCTGGACTGGTCTACTTTCATCCTCAAATGCTGCCTTTACAACCACTGACAAATCCTGACCAATTAGATCAGACTGAGTATATTCAAGAGGAGGAAATCTAGGGTTTCTCTTGATGGCTAAAGCCTGAATCAGCCATTCCAGGGCTGCTTTCCCCTGACCACGAACTGATTCCACAGTAGCTCTCTGCAGGATCTGGAACTGCTTCTAACCCAGAAGCACGCTTACCCCACCACTTCCTCATGACCTATTCTAAACAGGCTGGGAAACAAAGACCAAATTAATGGCTGCAACTTTTAACCTCTCTGCAGCCAGTTTTTGTCTTCTGGCCCTGATGCTGTCCTCCTTGGGGACTTGGGAGTAGAAAGACGGAAGAAGACATCCAGTTCCTCAAGAGTCACTTGCTTAGGCCTGGGCATTATGGAGAGCTAGAGTCATTTAGAATGTTCTCATCTCTCAAGAAAAAAGGGACCTTCTTTTTAATTTTGTCTCAATGGGAGAAAAAAAGTGCAAGTAAAAGACCTATCCCCTTAACCTCTTAAAATTGTTCTTCAATCCAATCCTCAAGACAAAGAAACTTGCATCCTTTTAAGTGGGTAATAATCTTTATAATGATAAATAAAAATGGAAAGCATAGTCACAGAATTAGAGCAAACTGTTGGAGTCTGGGGGAAGAATTTATATAGAACCCTAATTAGAAAGAACATGATTTCAGCAAGCATTGCCCCTTGTGAAGAGCTAAAATCCATTAACCTCGTGTATCCCCAAGTGCTACTTCAGAGGGTCTGGGGCATAATTGAAATGCAATTAGCACCAAATAGGCTAGAGTCCTTTCCCCCACGTCCTCCCTAGTTATAGTCTCACTTCACAACCCAGGCCAGAATCAGCCTGGAACTTGCTATCTTGCCATTGTGTTACAATCCAAGTGCTGAGATCACAGTATCTGCATAGGAAGCTCTTAGCTTGCTAGGACCCATCAGCCATTTTCTACCAAGAACATAAAAGATAAGAGCTTTAAGTGAACTCCATCAGGTCTCCAGAGCTTATTTCACATGAAGTACTTAGAATCTGAATGTTAAAAGAATTCCTTTAACCAACAACTTTGCTAGGCCTTGAGAAATTATTTTAACTAGTTTGCAGTGATGTAGGGTCATCTGTCTATGTGTTACTTTCATTGGTTAATAAAGAAACTGCCTTGGCTTTTTGATAGGGCACAAATTAGATAGGTGGAGTAGACCAAACAGAATGCTGGGAGAAAGAAAGCAGAGTCAGTCAGAAACCATGATTCTTCGACCCAAGACAGATGTAGGCTAGAATCTTTCCCGGTAAGACACCACATAGTAGTGCTACACAGATTATTAGAAATGGGTTAATCAAGATGTGAGAATTAGTCAATAAGAGGCTAGAACTAATGGGTCAGGCAGTGTTTAAAAGAATACAGTTTCCAAGTTATTATTTCCGGGGCTAAGCTAGCCGTGCGGGAACTGGGAGGGACGAAAAGCAGGTCTACCCGCAGCTCCTTCTACATTGTAGTCTAGTGGCAAATAAAAATATTAACCAAGTATTCTAACCAATAAAGTAACCTTTCATAGGTTGCAAGGTCAGAGAACGCTTTTACTGAAAAACCAAGCTTGAGTTGGTGCGTGTAGTATAAATAGGAACAAACAAGATGAAGACAAGAAGTTTGAGGCACAACAAATAACAAATACAAAGGTCTGAGGGTCTAAAAGTGTGGAAAACAAAAGAAAAATCATGTAAGCTGAGGCTTAAAGAAACCAGAGAAGAAGGTAAAGATGAGAAAATGGAAATTCCAATAGGCCAAGCCAAGGCTTTAATTCCAGCACTCAGGGGGCAGAGGCAAGCAGATCTCTGAGTTCGAGGTTAGCTTGATTTACAGAGAAAAGTTCCAGGATAGCCACGGCAAGAGAGAAACCCTGTCTCAAAAAAAAGTATTTATCACAAAAGCAACTAGTAAAAACAGATGTGATCAGGGGCTAGAGAGATGGCTCAGTGGTTAAGAGCACTGGCGGCTCTTCCAGAGGTCCTGAATTCAATTCCCAGCAACCATATGGTGGCTCACAACCATCTGTAATGAGATCTGGCGCCCTCCTCCAGCATATGGGCATACATGCAGGCAGAATGTTACATACATAATAAATAAATAAATCTTTAAAAAAAACACACACACACAGATTTGATCAAATGTGGACTGATACATATTTTCTGGACACAGTACCAACAATGGCATGCAGGGAGCAACTGAGGAGAGGTATAAGCAAAGCACCAAGAAGCTGTTCTGTACATTTAGTACAGATGATGATATGATGGTAGCAGTCAAGATGGACAGTACATAATTCATAAATACTTAATAAAGTCAGCTGAATATGATGGTGTAGACCCATTGGCCCAATACTCTGGAGCCAAGATAGCATCAGGAGTTCAAAACATGCTGAGCTCCAGGAGATCCTACAAATAATATAAAATAAATATAAAAAATAATATAAAAAAAAGCCACAAATAATATAAAATAAATCAATGAAAGGGCGCCAAATACAATGGACATGTCTACAATTCCATAGTTCTGAAAAACACAGGGAATTGAGACAGAAGGATCAACTGAGATAAGGAGCTGGAGGCCAGCAAGGGCAACAGAGTAAAACCCCAACTCCAAAAAGAAAAGAGGGAATGAGGATGCAGCTCAATGTAGAATGCCTGCCTAGCCAACTCAGGTTCAAACCCTAGCAGTAGGGCTTCTTGAATGTGGGAATGTGAGAACAGCCTGAGTTAATAAATAACAAGATCCTATTTGAAAAAAAAAAATCACAAAACTGTGATCAACAGTCTCAGTGAAAATAAAGAGAAGTGCTGTTGTAGAATATTAGTTAAAGAGTGTCACATCTATTTGTGCTGTGGGACATTTGTTTAACGATGCAAAGAACGGCCAATAATGAGGCAGAAGGAAGGACAGGCGAGGTTGGCAGACAGAATAAATAGAAGGAGAAATCTGGGAAGAGAAGATCAGGAACAAGAAAAGGAGGACATCAGAGACCAGCCACCCAGCTGCACAATAAGTCACGGAGTAAGGTATAAACAGAAACAGACAAACGAAAAAGCCCAGAGACAGAAGGTAGCTGGGAAAATTTAAGTCAAGAAAAACTGACTAGAAACAAGCCAAGCTAAGGATTCATACAAAAGAATAAGGCTTCCTGTGATTATTTGCGAGGTGGGTAGCAGGCCCTTCAAAGAGTAAATGAACAAAACACAACAAAGTGCACTCACTGTATGACAGTCACTGAAATAAGAAACAAAAGAGAACTAAAAGCTAAAATGAGGAAAAAAGACTGGATCCTAGACAAACTTTAAAATATCCAAGTTTTTCTCCTTGGTTTTTTTTTGGTGGTGGTGGTTTTTTTTGCTTTTTTTTTTTTTTTTTTTTTTTTTTTTTTTTTTTTTTTTTGGATTTTCAAGACAGGGTTTTGCTGTAGTTTTAGAGCCTGTCCTGCTGGAACTAGCTCTTGTAGACCAGGCTGGCCTCTAACTCACAGAGATCCACCTGCCTCTGCCTCCCAAGAGCTGGGATTGAAGGTATGCACCACCACTGCCCAGCTCTCCTTGTTTTTTGATTAATTTTGAGATGAGGCCCTGGCTGTCTTAGAACTCACTATATAGATGAGGCTGACTTCAACTCAGAGATTCTCATGCTGCTGTCTCCCAAATGTTGGGATTAAAGGCGTGTGCCACTATGCCTAGCAGAAATATTCAACTTTTTTTAGACATATCAGGCCAGAAGTAAAAATGAAAAAAAAAAAAAAAACTGAATTGGAGGCTTAAATAAATATTACTGGAACTGATTTGCTTACAGGTGATTTTTTTAAAGTAACATATATAAGGGTTGGGCATGGTAACACACATAAACATCTTTTTATTTAACTGACATCAATTTTATTAAATGAATATCACATTAAGAAAAAAAATCTCAGTATGAGCACTAATGTACAAACTTTAAATAATGGAGAGTAGGGGGCTGGAAAGAAGGCTGAGCAATCAAGAGCACATGTTGCTGACCCAGGTTCAGTTCCCAGCACCCACATGGCAGCTCAACCATCTGCAGGGGCTCTACTTCTGCAGATACCAGGCAAACACTTGGTTCACATACATATATGCAGATGAAACATCACACATAAAGTAGAAACAATAATCAGTTTTTGTTTGTTTTTTGAGACAGGGTTTCTCAGTATAACAATAATCGGTTGGGTTTTTTGTTTTGTTTTAATTCTGTAAATTGGGTATGGTGGAGAATCCCTTTAATCCTAACACCAAAGAGGCAGAGACAGGAAGATCTCTGTGAGGTCCAGGCCAGCCTGCTCTATACAGCTTAGTCCCAGGACAGCCAGGACTACACAGAGACGGCAAGTCTCAAAAAAAAAAAAAAACAAAGAAAAAAGGGTATGAAGCTTTAGAACAGAGCATGGTGGCTCACGCCTTTAATCCCAGCATCCAGGAAGCAGAGGCAGGAAACCTCTTTCAGTTTGAAGCCAGCCTGGTCTACAGAGCAAGTTCCAGGACAACCAGAGTGACACAGAGAAGTCCTGTTTCAAAAATATTAACAACAGTAAAATAAAGAATTGTCTAATAGCAAAGTAGACAATGCCCAACAAACACAGATATTAAGGTGGAAATCTGTAAGCTAAGTAGACAAGGGCCTCTCTCTCCTTCCACACTTCTCCTACCCCCTTGCTTCCTAACTGACATGAACATCTCTTCTCAAGAGAAACCAAGAACAAATGTTCATGTGCAACAAATAAAAGATTCTTTCACAACAAATACTGGAAGAGCTCAGAAAGAGACTGACAATGTACAAACCTAAGAAACTTAATTTTAGTTCCTCAAAGTAGTAAGAATCCTCAACTTACCTATGTCAATTCCTCTTCGGAGAGTACTTTTGTCAGAATCCTGATGACCAATCAGATCCTCTACCCAGTGAATGTAGTTGAGTCTCAAGGGAACCGTGGGAATTAGTCTCTCCAAAGGAATATCAATAGAAAGTCCAAAGTCTTCTCTTAGAAGAGTACAAGTTAGGGCTCTGACTGCTTCAGGGTCTTTGAAATTAAGACTGAGGAATAGAGAAAAAGATGAACTGATTAGTATGTACCACTGTGCTGCACTAGCTCCTTTGCCATATCAGGCAGCTGCACTAGGGACCCAGTACCCATTTGAATTTCCTAATGTTCAACATTGGCACAACAGACACATGGTGTTTAGCATCTTCATAGCCTATGGAAAGCAGCAGAGTTACCCACCACAGAGCAGTTGCATCCACACATGCAGCACAGGGGCTAAGAGTGCCTCTATTCCAATTCCTATCTGTTTTCTGTCTTAACTGCAAGACTCTGGACAAGCTATGCACCTCATTGACACTCCTCTCAGCTGTTGAGGCTAAGAGTACCAACATCAGTGCCACATGACAGTCTGAGAAGAACACAGCTCTTGATACTAAGTGTTTTACAAGTGCTGGCTATTTTTTTCTTTTACACTATCATCAACATCATTGACCCTATCACTCAAAATGGAAAAAGAAAAAACAGCATAAAAATAATAGCCAGGTGTGGTGGCACACACCTTTAATCTCCCCAAGTTGGAGACAGAAGCAGGCAAATCTGTTAAATTTGAGGCCAGCTTGGTCTACATACAGCACAGCCAAGGTACAAATAGAGAGTCCGTCTCAAAACAAAATCAATCAAACAAACAAACAAAAAACCATCAGGACAAGTTCCAGGAAAGTTAGGGCTGTTACACAACAAAACCCTCTCAAGCTTATTAAAAGGGTAAACTAGAGCCCGGTGGTGGTGGCGGCGGCGGCGCACGCCTTTAATCCCAGCACTCAGGAGACAGAGGCAGGCAGATCTCTGTGTGAGTTTGAGGTCAGCATGGTCTACAAGAGCCACAGACTCCAAAGCTACATAGAAACCCTGTCTCGAAGGAAAAAAAAGAAAGGTAAGCTAACCCTATCTTCTTCAATGACAGAAATAAAAGACAATCTTACACACTGAAGAAATCCATATTCAAGTAAGACACTAACTATAATCATATCCTATTCCAATACACTGGCTGATCTAATATCTCATCATACTACACGAAAAGTTTTAAATTTTCAAATGTACAATTCTAGAAATTAAAGAAACCTAATAACCTAGAAATGCCTTCTCAAACAAAATTTGAAAATGGTTTCTGAAGTGCACACCCAGTAACTTGAATACCTTACAGCTTCTCAGTGTTACTTCTGCACTGGAGACGTAAAAATCCAGGATGGCAAATCCAGGGAATCTACTAAGAACAGCTTTCAAAATAACAGTTCAGGCAAAGAAATGTGAACTAAGCAAATGACACAAGGTCTTTATACGTATGGGCAATATAAACTGTTCACAATATAAACTGCTTCTTCTGAGCAGCCACTCAGAGACCACGTTCTGAAAGAGCACTATGCCAGACAGCCACCACTATGCCTAGTTGGCCCTGAACCTGGAGTTCAAGCCTCAGGAATCTTCCTTCCTACTTCTCAGGCAGGGGGATTATAGGGATATACCATTGTGCCAGGCATTTACAAGGGTACTAGGGGAACAAATTGAGGTCACCGTAGTTGTTTGAAAAACAATGGCCCCCACAGGAAGTGGCACTTTTAGGAGGTGTGGCTTTGCTGGGATAGGTGCAGCCTGCTCAGTGTGACACTCAGATCACTTCCAGCTGTTTCTCTAGCATCATGTCTACCTGCACACCACACGCCACCTTATCCCACCATAACAGGCTATACGGCTCAACTGCAAGTGAACCCCAACTAAATGCTTTTCTTTATGAGTTGCCATGATCATGGTATCTATTCACAGCAATAGAAATCCTAAGACAGTCATATTTGCATAGCAAGCATTTTACTGACTGAGCCATCTTCCCAACCCTCAACTTTTTCTTTTATACATGTAATATTGCCATTATATTACCTATGAATGATACATTTCTATAATTTTTTCCATTAAGTGTATTTAATCCAGCAATCAGGAGGCAGAGGCAGGTGGATCTCTGTGAGTTCAAGGCCAGCCTGGTCTACATAGGACACAATGGATACATACTGAAACCCTGTCTCAAAAACCAAAACCAAGGGGCTGGAGAGATGGCTCAGAGGTTAAGAGCATTGCCTGCTCTTCCAAAGGTCCTGAGTTCAATTCCCAGCAACCACATGTGGCTCACAACCATCTGTAATGGGGTCTGGTGCCCTCTTCTGGTCTACACACACAGAGACAGAATGCCTGCTCTTCCAAAGGTCCTGAGTTCAATTCCCAGCAACCACATGGTGGCTCACAACCATCTGTAATGAGGTCTGGCGCCCTCTTCTGGCCTGCAGGCATACAGACAGAACATTGTATACATAATAAATAAATAAATAAATAAATAAATAAATAAATAAATAAATAAAATAAAACAAATCTAATTTTATAATTAAAAAAAATTTCCCCATTTTTATGTTAGGCATAGTGGTGCATGCCTTCAATCCCAGGACTCAAAAGGTAGAGGAAAGCAGATCTCTGTGAGTTTGAGGCCAGCCTGATCTACAAAGCAAGTTCCAGGGCAGCCAGGACTGTTCAGAGAAATCCTGTCTCAAACAAACACACACACAAACAAACACACACACACACACACACACACTCAAATCATCATCACCAACAGCAACAATTAAAAAGAAAGAAGCCAGCCGGGTGGTAGCACATGGCTTTAATCCCAGCACTTGGGAGGCAGAGGCAGGAGGATGTCTGTGAGTTCGAGGCCAGCCTGGTCTATAAGAGCTAGGTCCAGGACAGGCACCAAAGCCACAGAGAAACCCTGTAAAGAAAGAAAGAAAGAAAGAGAGAGAGAGAGAGAGAGAGAGAGAGAGAGAGAGAGAGAAAGAAGCCATGAATTTGAGAGCAAGGATATATAGGAGAAGGAAGAGAAGGAGGAAAAGGAAAAAGGGAAATGATATAATTATACATAATTTCTTTGGAGGGGGGTTCGAAACAGGGTTTCTCTCTTGTAGCTTTGGAATCTGGCCTGGAACTCACTCTGTAGACGGGGCTGGCCTTGAATTTACAGAGATTCTCCTGCCTTCTGCCTTCAGGTGCTGAGATTAAAGGTGTATGCATCACTCAGCAATTACACATAATTTTAAATCTTTTTTAAATTACTAAAAAGTATCTCCCCCCACAATAAAATGCAAAGTTAGGTGTAGAGCTCAGTGGTACAGTGTTTACCTAGTGTGCACAGGAACCTTGGATTTGACCCTCAGTTGTACAAAACTAAAATCTATGGACAGGCAATGGAAGCCTCTATCTTCAATCTCAACAATTAAGAGGCAGAGGCAGAAAGATCTTTACAAGTTCAAGGCCATCCAGGTCTACACAGTGAATGTCAGGCAGCCAGAGATACAGATCAAGACTCTCTAAAACAAGAGACCCCCCCCCAAAAAATACAAACATAGTCTCTCTCATTCTAATAAACTACAGCACATGATTTATTAATGAGGAACTATAATATCACCAAAACATTGAGTATATAGCAGAGGGAAGACCAATGAAGGGAATAAACAAAACTTATGAAAACTGATTCTTAGACTCTATTAATAGAATTGACGGTTCATTTTTTAGTTCTAAGAAAAGGCAGACAATAGTCCAAGTGTTAGAAATCCTTTGTAGGACAAAGTCTAGTCACCCAACCTCACTACTTAAATATATCTAGGTCACGTTAGAACCCTGGGACACTGCAAATCCTGAACACAGGCAAGAACTGTTTTTATTCTCATTTCCAAGATCACAGGGAGGCCTTGGAACTAAAATTAGCTCTCACGTGAAAATTAGCACTTACTCATTCCATCAGTCCTTGTTGTTTGTTTAATTAACACATGCAGCTTCACAAAACAGCCTATTGTCAACAAACTTCTGATTCCCCAGAATGATTCCCACTCTGCTGCAATGAATACTTTATTTGTAATCACTAGCAATGAGTTTTAGAATGCATTTCCACTATCCAAGGATGACCTAACAGTCATTCTAATACTGCAGAAGCTGAACCTCAAGTGTGTCAATAAACACCAAAGCCTGTAAACCTTGTTGCAATATTGGTCTGTGTCACTGGATCATCAATGAGAAGCTAAAAACACTAGTCACCAAGTACAACCAACCTTCAGTGTTGGTCTTTGGTTTAAAAACAAACCAATTAAATGTCATACTGTGTTCAAGGTCAACTAACAGAGCTCATATATAAACAGCAGGCTGTTGCTATGGAGCTGGGTACTATGAAAAAGCAAAACCTAAAATTAAATCACACTGGTTTGATTCAACTTTAACAAAGCAATGACAGGTACAGCAAGAACAGAGACATCATCACATCCTTAATATTAGCCATCTCGGTTCTATCAGGCCTCCTAATATAGGGATATCTACCTTTAATCAAATGTTTATAATAAGCTAATCACTATGTATAAATTATCACTACCCTTTATAACAGCCATGCAAAACTTCTACCTCCCTTTTAGATGAAGAGACTTAGTCTCCATAAAACTAGAAAATTACAAAACCTCAGTTGTCAAATGCCACTAAGTGCACTGGCTGGTCTTCCAAAGGACCTGGTTCAATTCTCAGCACCCACATGACAGCTCACAACCATCTACAATCCCAATCCAAGTAATCCAACATCCTCTTCTGGACTCCACAGGAATTGCATGTACAGAGTACACAGGCAAAACACCCATACATAATATAAATTAAATCTTTTGTTTAAAAGAACTAAAATAATGTCAGGTGGAGGGGGCACACACCTTTAATCCCAGACTTTCGTGAGGTAGAGGCAGGTGGTTCTCTGTGAATTCAAGGCCAGCATGGTCTACAGAGTGAGTTCTAGGACAGCTAGGGCTACACAGGGAAACTCTGTCTCCAAAAACCAAAAAAAATAAATAAATAAATAAACCGACACTACTAAAATGAAGTGCCTGAACTGGATGTATAACCAGCCTGTAAACCCAGCACTCAGAGGCTGAGGTAGGAGGATCTCCGTGAATTTGAGGCCTGATGAGACTAGAATGAGTTTCAGATTACTCTGTGATAGTTTGAGATCTTGCCTCAAGAAAATCAAAGGAAAGGAAAGTATATAGTTCAATGGTAAAACATTTGCCTAGAATGCAAAAGAGGCCCTAGGTTTGATCTCTACGACTGCAAAAACAAGTGAATAAATAAGTAAACAAATAAATGAATAAAAAAAAATAACTCAGGAGTCTAAGGAAAAAGAACAGTTGAAAGTCAGATTGGGCTATACAGCAAGACTGTCTTCAAAGAGAGAGAGCAGGCAAGCAAACATAAATTTTGGGAGTGGGGAGATGGCTCAACAATTATCTTCCAGGACCTGAGTTTAGTCCCAGCACTTGTATAGGTTGGTTAACAAGCATCTGTAACTCCAGCTCCAGGAGATCTGACATCCTCTTCTGACCTCAGGCACTGCATTCATGTACACAGATACACACACATAACTAAAAATAAAGTCATGGGGTTGTGACATATGCCTTTTATCCCAGCACTCCGGAGGCAAAGGCAGGCAGATCTCTGTGGTTCAAGGCCAGCCTGTTCTATAGAGCTAATCCTAGGACAACCAAAGCTAAGCAAAGATACCCTTTCCTGAAAAACCAAAATAGATAGGTAGACAGATAGACAGACAACAGACAGACAGAGAATCATGAAAAAATAAAAGGAACATTTATCAATACAGGGAATCATGAACTCTGACTTAATCAAGCAGGAAAGTAGTATTCCTGCTAGAGGCAGCTAAGTCTTTGACACAAGAGAACTGGTCTCCCATCTCCTATACCTATATATAACAGATCCCTTCTACATATGTCATACTGTAGTCTAATAGTGCTATTCACAAAACCTAAGAAATTGTGTTCTTTTTTTCTGTAAAAATATACAGTCCAACAAGATAAGATAGCTCAGCACGAAAAAGCGTTTGTCATACAAGGCTGAAGACCTCAGTTCAATCCTCCACAGGCAATGATGAGAATAGAGAACCAACTCTCAAAAGTTGTCCTCTGGAGGGGATGAAAAAATGGTTCAGAAGCTCTGCTTTTCCAGAAGACCTGGGTTTGAATTCCAGCTACCACATGGCAGTTCATAACCATCTGGAACTCCAGTTCTGGCAGATCTGAGCCCTGTTCCGGCCTAGACCAGCACCAGGAACATGTAGTGCAGACACACATGCAATCATACATATGAGATACAAATTAAAAGTAAACAAAAATTTAAAAAGTTAGTAGGGCTGGGTGGTGGTGGTGCACACCTTTAATCCCAGCAATTAGGAGGCAGACGCAGGTGGATCTCTGTGAGTTTGAGGCCAGCCTGGTCTATAGTGAATCCTGGGGCAGCCAGAACTACACACTGAGAAACCATGCCTTGAAAAACCCAAATAAATAAATAAATAATAGTTAGTGGACATTTAAAAAAGAAAACAAAACAAAAACAGGATATGACATGGCTAGTCTGTTTCAAGTATATGTCCATCCATTCTCCTTAAAAAAAAAATTCATAAAGCAGCACACTCCTGCATATACATCACACATGCGTGCGCACACACACACAATATTCTCATCTTTAAAAAAAAAATTACCAGCCGGGCGATGGTGGTGCACGCCTTTAATCCCAGCACTCGGGGAGGCAGAGGCAGGCGGATCTCTTTGAGTTCGAGGCCAGCCTGGTCCTAGAAGAGCTAGTTCCAGGACAGGAACCAAAAAGCTACGGAGAAACCCTGTCTCGGAAAAAAAAAAAAAGAATTACCCTAGCCTGAGCTCCCCAATACTGGAGATAGTATAAACGCACCAGCCACACAAGATGCCACAGTGAGAAGACAAACTCCTGAAAGTTGTTCTCTGACCTCCACATATGCACCATGGCACAAAAACACACATTCACATATAAATAAAATTAAAGAAAATGTTAATGATGGTCATGTCTTTTTTATAGGCACATTTGCTTTCCTCTGTGAATGTTTTCTAATTCTTTTTTTTAAAATATGTCCCAGGCATGAAACAGCTTTGGCCACCAAGCCAGGCATCAAGCTAGGAAGAACAAAGAACTGCCATCTGCTCTGCCCATGACTGATGTAAGAAGACACAAGGTGTCTCTTTGCCCACTGCGGGGGGCAATTCTTTTTATCTAATATAAAACAGACCCTTTGAAGGGCCGGCAAGATGGCTCAGTGGATAGAGCTAGTTGCTGCCACGTATGACAATTTGAATTTGAGCCCCAGAATCCACATGCTAGAAAGACAGGACTCCCACAAGTTCTCTCATTTCCACACATGCTGTGGCACATGACCGCACTCATGCAGACACACACATACATGTATAAACAAATGTTAACAAAAACTTTAATTATTAAAAATTGTATGGCTGTCTAGCTTGCATGGATGCATGCATGACTATCCATCACATGTGTACAGTGCCCTCAGAGACCAGAAGGAGGCATCAAATCATCTGGAATTGGAGTTAGAATATTGTTAGCCACCAAGTGGCTGCTGAGAACCAAACTCAAGTCCTCTTTAAGAGTAATAAGTGCTCTTAACCACTAAGTAATCTCTCTAGTACCATTACTAAAATCAAAAACAAAAACTAATTTTGCAGGCTGGGCATGGTGGCAGGCCAGCTTGGTCTACATAGGAAGTACCAGGACATCCAAAGCTACAGAGAAACCATCTAAAAAAACCCAAAACAACAATAATGATAATAAAATAAATCCAATTCAAAGTGTAAGATAAACACACAGATTTTCATGTGAGACTACAAAACACTCATTCTCAGTGCTCCAGACCACACTGACTTTTAAGAAGCTGTAGCCTAACACAATGATGTATGCCTTTAATCCTAAAACCCTGTCTCAAAAAAAAAAAAAAAAAAAAACAAACAAAAAGAATACTTGCTGCTCTTATAAAGCATCTGGGTTCAATTACCAGCAGCCACACAACAGTTCACAACCACATATAAGTCCTGCTTCTTATTTTTGCAGGCATTATACATACATGGACACTTACTTACATGAAGGCAAAACACTCATAAACTCATCAATCAATCAATCTCTCTCTCACACATACACACCACACCACACCTTACTCAGGATGGGGGAATAGCTCAGTGCAAAATGCTTGCTTCAGGAGCATAAAATCCTGTATTAAGTCCCTGCAGCACAAATTAACCAATTCTCTTCAGGCTCATCCATATGAAGAATCACACCTATGAATTATTAGAATGTTATATAGTGCTTTTAAATTTTTATTTATTTATTATGTGTGTATGTGCATGTGCCATGCTGTGCTTGTAGAGGTCAAAACAATCTGTGGGAGTCGATTCTCTCCTTATACCATGTGAGATCCTGGGTAATGAAATTCAGGTCTTCAGGATGGTGTCAGGTCCCTTTAACCACCAGCCAACTCTCTGGCCCCTAAATGTTCTTTGTTTTCTTTACCTTTCTTCCTTTCAGTTACAACCTACCCTCCTACATCCACACCTGTGCACAGTTCTCCAAACCGACTGCATCTATTTCCTATATACGGAATTCTTCACTTCTCTTCAACCTTCAAAAAAACAGCCACCCCACTACCACTGTGCCCCTTTCCTTGAACTTATTTTCCATTGCCTATGAACTATTCCGCTCATGCCAGGTGGTGGTGGCACACACCTTTAATCCCAGCATGGGAGACAGAGACAGGTGGATCTCTGTGAGCTTGAGGCTGGCCTGGTCTACAAAGTGAGTTCCAGGATAGGCTTCAAAGCTACAGAGAAACCCTGTATTGAAAAAAAGAGGGAAAAAAAAAAAAAAAGTTGGGAAATATTCCATTCAGGTATTCCCAAATCCTCAGATCTAATATGCACAACTGAAAACAGCAACTTCCTAAAATCAGTTCATTCTGTAATCTGTAGGCTTATAAATGCTACTACCTTTCCTCTGACTACAGGAAGAAGACCTCAGGCTCCATACTTGGCTCTTTTCTTCCTAATTTCTACCACATATTACTAACTGTACCTGGGAATTTCTGAGCTTTACTTATTGTCTACACATAGGCCACTAATATACTGATATATCTGGGATACTAAAAACATTTCTGGGGCTGGAGAAATGGCTCAGCAGTTAAGAGCACTGGTTGTTCTGCCAGAGGGCCCTGGTTCAATTCCCAGCACCCACATGGCAGCTCACAACTGTCTGTAACTCCAAGTCTGACCAGAATTACTTACAGGTAAAGAATCAATGCACATAAAAATAAATATAAAAGAAATTACTTGGGGCTGGAGAGATGGCTCAGCAGTTAAAGAGCACTGGTTCCTCTCCCAGAAGACCCAGGTTCAACTAACTGTATTCTCAGCATTCAAGTTCCCAGCACTGACATGGCAGCTTACAACTGTCTGTAACTCCAGCTTCAGGGGATCTGACATCCCTTCTGGTCTCTATAGAGACCAAGTATGAACATGGTGCAGACATACACACAGGCAAACTGCCTATACACATAAAAAAATAAAATAATAATTAAAAAGAAAATTTTCTAGTTACTTTAATTCTCTCTTCAATCTATTGTCTACAATGTTCTTAGAATGTATCCATTTATGAGATGGAAAGATGGCTCAGCAGATAAGGGCGCAAGCTGTCCTTACAAAAGACCCATGTTCAATTCCCAGCACCCACATGGTGGCTCATCATCATCTGAAACTCACTCTAGTTCCAGGGCATCCAATGCCCTTTTCTAACCTTAGGAGGCTCTTACACACACATAATAGCCATACATAAACACTAATCTCAGGTGCACATGCATACACACAGGACAAATAAAAACAAAACAGAATGTATCTGTTTAAACATAATCCTGAACATATGATTTGCCTATCTTAAAATACAGAAGTTAAGCTGGACATGATGGCACACCATTTTAATCCCACCAGAGGCAGGCAGATCTCTATGAATTTGATACCAGCCAGGGCTAAAACAAACAAACAAACAAACAAACAAACAAACAAACAAAAAAATCAGAGGCTAGACATGGAAGACACATGTAATTTCATCATTCGGAACACTGGGGCAGAATAATTGCTAGTACAAGACTAGTAACAGCAAGTTCAAGAACCCTTTCCCCCTTCCACCATACAGAGTGATAAAGAGAATTAAGGCAGACAGTAAGGCACTCTGCTTAATTCAGAGGAAATTTATATATATTCACAAAGACTATAATCTGAAAAGGCATTATATGCAAAAACATGCTGCCAAATTCAGTGCAAGTTAAGAACTATGTTATAGGGGCAAAATTAAAAGAAATGTGTAGTCTCAGTTGTCCTAGAACTAGCTCTGTAGACCAGGCTGGCCTCGAACTAACAGAGATCCACCTGCCTCTACATCCCAAGTGCTGGGATTAAAGGTGTGTGCCACCACTGCCCAGCTGTAACAAGACATTCTGCCATTCACTGAACACTGAATCACAGAGTACAATCCTATTTGGAGTTACTTTGGCACCTCTGTTGTAGAAGCATTAAGTTGGCCATTAAGAGGCTCTCTAATTTTCAGACTTGGTAGATTTAAAAAAATTGACCCCCAGGATGGATTTATCACAGGAGACATTCCATGAAACGCACATGGTCAGCACTCAGATCTTCTGTTGGTCCAGCTTGCTTCCTACCACACCAAGTCCACTCAGATATCACTAGATTGATACATATTGATAACTTTCCATGTATTACCTACCTTACTCTCCCATTCAGATTTATCTGAATATGCTGCTTAAAATCTGGATATTTAGATGCCAGATATGCGAAGTCAGGTGGCTTGTCCTTGTATCTGTTTCTTGCGTGCATTGATTTGCTTAGAGCCATCTTTAAAGAGAGAGGGAAGAGGGGATGTGAGAGAGACAAAGAAGAAATCATATTTATTTCAAAAGCATTAGTGAGGAAAGGAGTACATACATGCCCATAATACCAGTACTTGAAAGGCAGAGGCAGGAGGATTCCAGTAAGCTTGAAAGACCAACCTCAGCTACAAAGTTCCAGGCCAATTGAGACCTTACCTCTAAAACAAACACACACACACATACCACATACACACAAATAGTAAGGCAAGTAAGCAGTGCTCTTGTTAAGTCCAGCTTGCTGCCACATGCAGGACCCTCCCCAACTAAGGGGATACAGTTTATCACTAGAATACTTGCCAACACACTCAAGACCCTGGGTTCATTCTCCAGAATCAATCTCTCTCTCTCTCTCTCTCTCTCTCTCTTTCTCTCTCTCTCTCTCTCTCTCTCTCTCTCTATCTCTCACACACACACACACACACACCTAGAAACTCAGTTTTTACTTCCTAGGATTCACATGCCCCTTACAGATATCTGGTTAAAAAGGAACATAAAGTGAGGACAGGACCCAAGGCCCCAAAATTATCAAAGGGAATGTGTTCTTTCTTCATGTAATACTGTAGAGCAACAAAAAGAAAGGCACTCCACTCCTCTAACAAATTCAAGAGATAATGATACATTAGGACTCACCACACATAAAAGAGGGCATTGCTGACAGACATGTATTCTGAACATATGTAACCCAAGTTAAATTACCGTCTTGGCCAATCTGGTTCATTTTCTACACTACTTATTCTATTGTAACAGATGCAGTCAATATAAGTCACTCCTTTGATTAACTTCTGGGAGAAAAAAATTTTTTTCACCAGGAATTTAACCCAGTGTTTCACACAAGTTCTACCAAGGGGCTGCTATACCCCAGATGAATTAACTTCTGGATATTTAGTTACATACCTATCTATTCCATTCCTCAAAGCTAACTGGGTGTCAGCTCTTGCCTAGCACCCAATTTACTCTGTTCCTGCCACACTGGCCTATTAGCCATTTCCTGATCAAGTCAGGCACATTCACGCCTTAGGGCTATTTATTTGTACTTGTCTTTTTATTGTTTTTGTTGCTCAGACAAGGTCTCCAGTAGCCCACACTGGCTGGGAACTCACTTTGTACCCAAGGCTACTCATGAATTCCTTCTCCAGAGTGCATCATCACGCGGAACTTGCACCTGCTGCTATTCAACCGTCATGGATTGCCCTCCCCCATACAGTGTATGAAATGTACATACACTGAACATATCCCAACCTTGTTAGGTGTTTGGTCAAACGTCACCTTCAGTGACTAGAACACACTTTATCACCTTCCTAAGCTACTGTCTTTTGAATTTCCTCACTTAACATTCTCTACATGTTTGTTTTAATTTTTAAAACTTTCCCTACAAGCAAATCCCATGAGGGAAAACTTTGTTCGCTGAGGTACCCCAATACTTAACAAAGGATCTGTAAGAATAGGTACTCAACTATTTGCTGACTGAGGAGAGTATGAAATTGCCTGGAGATGTACCTCAGAGTGATAGAGCATTTGCCTAGCACGTGCAAGGCACTGGGTTCAGTCATCACCACCATAAGCCAATGACTACGAAATACTTTCCACCGTGTATAAGCCATTGAATCATAACACTCTCTTTCCGAATGGGCAGCCCAGGGAGTCTCAACAACAGCTACAAAAAGGCTCAGGTGAGCGAGTCCAAATACCAAAGACTCGAGGGTTGCCTTCCTCTTGACCCTTATCTCTCCAAACACCATTTCTTCTCATGCATAACCCGATAGGATAGTCTAAATTCGGCTTTTAGAACATCAAACTCTGGGGGCTGTAGAGATGGATCAACGGATAAGAGCACTGGTTGCTCTTCAAAAGGGCCTGGGTTCGATTCTCAGCACCCACATGGCGCCTCACGACCAATTCTAACTCAGCCCCATGGCATCGTCCTCTTCCGGCCTCTGCCGGTACTTGTGCTCGTGCTGCGGACATACGTGCGTTCAAAACACATACATATAAAGTAAAAAAAAAATTTAAAAAGTGTTTTAAAAAAGAACAGCAAACTCAACAGATGCCTCCCGCCACGACCCCAACACACGTTCTATGTTCATGCCCCCCGCCCCGTCACTAATCTGACTTTTTCTCTAGTTCCACCGCCTCTCGGGCTCATCCACGCCTTCTTCCCGCTTCGGTTTCAGGGCTCTCTAAATATCAGCCCAGGCGCATGAAGGGGCTCTCTCCTTCAACTCCTCCCACCTACCCACCCCACCGCCCGCGTCGGAGCACATAGCCGCCCAGGGTCCCCGGCTTCAAACCCCAATTAAGCCCCTGAGGAGTCAAGAACCAGTGGCTAAAAGCCGGTACTGGTTAAGCGACTAATGGAGCGCAAGCGGATAATTGATTTCTGAACCTCGCACCTCGTATGCCAGTGTAGGAGCCAGACGGCGTGTATGGCTGGGCCCCGCACAAATGCAGGATCCTAACCCACTCACACAGCGAAGCGCCTAGAAACGCAGATGCTACGCTCCCAGCGCGCCGCCATCTTGTGAAGCCAATCGGCGGCGTGATTGGGCAAGCCATTCTCGCGAGACGTATGGTCTACCCTGAAGAAGAAAGTAACTGTCGCGATACCTGGAGTTTGGGGCGCGTTTTCCACGAGAACGTGGGGGGCGTGGTCGCAAGCAGAGCGCTTGTCGGGGGCCAGGTCGAGAGGTGTACTTGTCGTTTTTTTTTTTTGTTGTTGTTGGGCTGCTCGTTTCCTGTTTAGTTTTGGTTGCGACGGAGCTCCACTGTAATCCAGTCTGGATCCAGTCCTATTCTGGCCTTCCTGACCTGGGATTACAGGTGTAAACTATCCCACCAAACTGGAAACTTTTTTTTTCTGAGTAACTTTTTTCAGCTCGCTCCAGGCTTACTAAATCATACCCTCTAGGCTAGGACAGGAAAAAGGAAAGCTAGAATAGGAGAATCTTGGGTTTGGTGGCAATTAATAGTTATTGGGTAGCAAATCTGTCTATGTGATGACACAATAGTTTCAGATAAACCTATGAGATGGGCAAAAAATCAAAATAATAATTGTGTCACAGCTCAGATGGAAAGGGATCCTGGCAGGCAGGAGCCAGGAATGCTGAGTGTTACAGCTCGGGTGGAAAAGTGTTCTGGCAGTCTGGACCAGCAATAAATAGCACAGGTCACAGGAAGTGACAGCTCCGCTCCACCTGGAGCGTGCTTTCCCCATTACAGCTCGGCTCCAGTGTTCCAGAGTGCAGCAACTCTGCTCCGCTAAGGGAAGGCTTCCCCAGCGAAAGTGTTACAGTCCCAGTCCACTCCATCTCTGCTCCTGCAAAAGAAGGTCTTCACTCAAACCTCGTCCAAGAGATTTCTTAAGAGGAAAGAATCCAGGAGAGTGGATAGCTCTACCAGGGTGGAAGAAGAGCAACCACAAATAGCACTGGTACAGGGCTTATATAGGGGTTCTTGGGGGCGGAGTTTTCCTAGGGAGATGATGGGTTGGTTAGTTTTCCCCTGCTCAGGAATTGGTTAGTTTAATTGGCCAAGGGCACAGATGGCTGATTTCAGAGCCAAACTGTGTTTCTTTCACTGGCCTTTTTAAGCTTTTTGACTCTAGGGCTCATTTCTTTTTTTTTTTTTTTAAGATT